CTGGGGTCTTTGTCTCGGCCGCCCCCACCTCCGGGCCAAGGCGGCGGAGGCGCCCAAGCCCGGCCGCCGAGCCGCGGCTGCACCTGCCGGCTGGTCCCGTGCGCCGGCTTTGCACGGCTTAACCCGGCTCGCTCCTGCGTGCGCCCCCGCGCGCTGCGCCCCGCGGCCCTTTATCCTGTGTGGCTGGGGTGCGGGTGGGGGAGAGCGCCGGGTCTGGAAGTCTCCCCCCTGCCCCAAGCCGGAGCCGGAATCTGTTTAGTGGGATTTCAATAAGAATGGGGCCGCCGCGGGCTCCGAGATCTGCCGCCGGGAGGCGTAGACGGCGGCGGTCTGGGTCTGTCTGGACGCCGGGCATTCAGAATCCTTCGGCGGCGGCCAGGCTTGAACTCCAGGTTGCCCCAACCGCAAGGGGAAAGATCCGGCGTTCAGGGCCCCCGGGAGTGGCGGCCGCTCCTTTCCCGGAAAACACGGAAGGAAATTCGTTGTTTTGGAAAAAGCTACGTCTCCCGGGGATCGGGAACATCTGGCGGTGAGCTCCGGGTCTACACAGGCACCTAGCGCTGGGATTCGTTTATGAGTGGGCAGGATTTGAGAAGCAGGTAGGGCCGTTGCGGCTACCCAGGCGTCTGGAGAGAGTTTCCCAGCCGGGTCGACAAATTGCAAACAAATTGCGTCTAACGAAACGGATTTACCAGTTGTCATGCTGCCGGGCCGCAGGACCGCCAGGCTCTCTGAGTAAACCGTGCCTGTGCTTGAAGGAAGGAGAAACGCTGACCGATTGTCTGCAGGTCTCAGCAGGGCCTATGGGGGAGGCTGTACGGCTTGGAGGTGGGTGGTTAGAACCTGATAAGGAGATACATGATCTCTCAGGCACCTCAGCCCAGGGCGCTGAGACTTCTCAGCCCGGGTTTTACGATTCGAAACGGCCCTAAAGACGTAAAGGGTGGGAAAGCCATCATGGAGGCCAGAGAGGAGAAGAAGCCTTCACATTTGGGGGGCTGAAAATGAACCCCAGCGAGCAGAAGGGGCTGTTGGAGTCCTGGTCCCTCCATTGCAGAACCCCTGGGTGGGGGGATGGCTGCAGGCCTGAGCAGATTTGAGAGGCCTTACCCTATGGGGACTTCTGAACCCCTCTGGCTAAAGCAGGCCCCCTCTTCCTCCTCAGTACCCCTCAAGGCACATCCCCAGTGTGGGGCTCGAAGGTCGCTGGGTTGCCAATTAAATATCCCTATGGAAGGCAGTCCTTAAGCAAACTGATTTCTTTGAATCTCCCCTCCACCGCTGGCCAATTAGATGCCCATAGGAAAAGGCGAGAAGAATTAGGTTACAAAGAGAGGGCAAACTTATGGTCCCAGAGGGGCCACCTTGGATGAGAGAAGTTTAAACAAAGGGCACGGAGGGGAGGGGAAGACCGGGCAGGGGCAGCTGAGAGCCGAGGCCGGTGGGTGAGGCCCACTAGAACCTGGCCTTGGATCCCTGAGCCTCCAGCTCCCCAGAGAACGCATCTTGAGCCGTTAGGACCCATGCTTTCTTGGGGAATCTCAGGCTACTTGAAAAAGGCTGTTGGAACATTCAGTTTCTCTGCTGCCCATCGCCAGTCCTTCCTGAAGTCTTGTTCTCATGTAAGGAAAGTGACAGCTTCTCAGTGCGATCAAAACGCAGCACCCGCATTAGCAACAACCCTTGGAAACCAACAGAAACATGGAAAAGGGGTCACGTCCCTCTGAAGGTGATCTGGAGACCCTGAAGCCCCAGGCTATAAACCGAAATAAATCTGCTTTCCTCATGTGTGAGGGTGCCCCCCACAATCCTAGCTGATTGGGGGGGCTGCCCTGAGCCTCCCCGGACGTTTGTTTGCGTGCAAGTGATAGGATGGTCTTTGCTGCCTACTAGGCAAGATGCCTGACTAGTGGTCCTTGGTCTGTCTGGCATACGCACACACTCATGATGGGGGAGGTGTGTTTTACTGACCAGCTGGGCCTTCTCCTGCCTGGCGCCCCTCTTCTCTCTCCCAGGCGGGTTCGTTCCTGCGGGAGAACGCAGTAGTCCCGCGTCCAACGCAGGAGCTCCAACCATAGTGGAGGCCTCCGCCAAGCCGGCTGCCTGCCTGCCTGCCTTTTGGAGGAAGGCAACCTCGGGCCTCAAGAGACCTGGCAGGGCTCCCTCCCCACCCCTTTTTTTTCCTCCCCTCTAGGCCGGGATTGCGGGAAGGGAGACTCGTGCGGATCTCCTGAGGCCCCTGCTCAAGCATTGCTTAACTGCCCTGCTAAGCTCCTCTGCGCGGCGATTTTCTGAGCCGCCGAGCGGGGTAATTAAATCCCCGCCAGTGCTCGCTTCTGCGCCAGGCCAGCGGGCAGCTCAGGGCTGCCGTTCAGGCGGGGGGCCCGGCCAGGCTGGTCACCTCCACTTCTGCGGTGGCCCAAGACGCTGCCCCAGAGGGGCTTCAGGCTGCCTCGGAGGGGCTTCTAGCCGAGTTCGTAATGATGAAACTGCAGACCCACCCCGAACGGGGGTAATTTGAACCACGCCTTTGGGGAAAATAAAGCGAATTACCTGCTTTCCCGAGCGCCCAGAGTAGCCACCTCCCTGCGAGCCGAGGCGCGGATCGCAGACCCACGGAAATCTTCCGCTCGGCTCCGGCGTTCACGGCCCCGGGTCTGGCAAGCGGCTGGCTGCCTCCTGAGCTGGGTCCCGGGGTTCGAGCTGGCGGGGCAGTCTTGCCTGACACCAGGGATTGTCCCCGGGGCGGCGGTGTCTTTGATAAGCTCCTGCTAGGTTCCAGGGACGCAAAACAGTCTCGAGGCTCCGACGATTGCATTTTACGCGTTGATGAAGAATCATAAACTAAAGGCAGGGAGGAGAGACAGACGAACAGAGAGGCAGCGAGTCCCGGCCAGACCGCGCGCGTTTCGGGTAGCGCGAACCGGAAGGCACTGAGGCCAATCACCTGCCCGGCCTGGCCGCAGAGGCCCGGCGCCCGCGGCCTCGCGCTCCCACTCCCGGCCCCGGCGCGCTTTACTCAGCTGGCGCCGGCCTCTCTTATGCGGAGCGGAGTTCCGAGTAGACCAGGCGGGCTCCGCGCGCCCCGGAGTGGAGCGGAGCGGGAGGCGCAGCGGGCCGCCAGGGCAGGCGGGTCCCCAAGCGCCCAAGACGCGCTGGTTCCCAGCCAAATGGGGCTCCGCGCCTTCAGCCCCGCGTCTTTACCTGCGGCCAGGGCCTCGGACAGATCAACGGACAGCCGGACGCAAAGGCAGGAGGAGGCCCCTAGCCTGTGCCTGCGCCCCCCGGCGCTGCCCAGAGCTGGTCTGGGAGAGGGTGACGGGCGCTCCCGCGGAGCTGGGCCTGGCCGGGAGCCCCCCGAGCCGAGGGGACCAAGGGCTTTCCTCCCTCCTCGGATTATTAAAAAGTTCATTTCCTGGCGAATCGGGTGACGTCAGGGCCCCGGCGTCGCGGTGGCGGGGCCGCCCGGCCGGAGAAGCCGCCTCCAGTTACCCAATTACCGACTGTCAATCCCGCCGCCCCTCCCCCCACCCTCCCGGGGGTGGCCCGGACCCCC